CGTCGCCGCCGCCCCCGCCCCCGCGGCCCCCGCCGACGCGACGCCGGCGCCGCCGTCGACGACGCGCAGCCCGCTGGCGTCCCTGAGCAAGGTGATGAACGCGCCGCGCGAGTACTACCCGGTGGGCTACGACAAGAACTTCGACGACAACTTCGCCTCGCGCGTCGAGCTGCCCGACACGTCCTTCTACTGCGGCGACCAGAAGCACTTCCCTGGCCTCTATGGCGACGAGGACCTCGGATGCATGGTAAGCACTAGCTGGGTGAGGATAATAGTGTTCTGTGTGTGTGTGTGGGAGAGAGAGAGTTAAAGAAGGTACAAGGCAGATAACCTGCCGACGGGTAAATGAGTTGGGTGTGTGAGAGTGAATAAGTAAATAAAGAGAGGGAGAGGGGAGAGGGAGAGATAGTCTTACAGAGGGGAGAGAGAGTTAGTCAGAAAGACAGACTGAGACAGTGGGTCGACGGCAGTGGTGAGTGGGTGCGTGAGAGTGGATGAGATTGGGTGAATGACTGAGTGGATGGGTGAGAAAATGGGTAAATCTTAGTTTCACAGTAAATGAGATTATTACGTAAACAGAAAAAAATGGTGTTCATAAATTTACACTTGCAGTTTTCATACAGGATCTCAATTAAAATAGATTGTAGTATAATAGCGCGTCATTTCCATACGTAAAAATCTTTTACCTCCCTTGCTCCACGGGCATGCCTCTTAAGTTTGTTATTATTTTAGTTAGAAAGTGAGAAAAATAGACCGGAATTGGGGGCATGGCAAATCCACCCTGTTGGAGGATTGGAGCACGGCAAATTCACCCTGTTGACTCCCGCTCGGGAAACCTTTGCATTATTAAAATACATTTCTTACGTACACAGTAACAAGGTCACATTAAGGGAGACATTACTGTGAAATCATGTATTGTGCATCTCTGGGAATTCCTTGTTTTGCTAGTCGGACTTGCGTTTCCTTGATTTCATTTCGCACGATATTGTTCTGTACCTATTACTGACTTGCCTTTTCTTCGTGCAATGTCTACCATCGCATCAATGCTGGTGGCGGCAAGCATTTAAAGCAACGCCTTAAGGCTCGAGAACCCTGGTGATTGCGAGACCTTGGGTTTGGTCCCAACCAGGTGCTGGAAATTTGCATCGGTGAACTCGTGGAGCGACCAAGAATCTATTTCGTTTGCTGATTGCTCTCATCAGTGTCTTCCGTTCCTCCGCCCGTGGTCGCCTCCAGACGGATCTCTCAGCCTAGAGTATTAGCCATCCTACCTTCCCTATACCGTCCCCATCCTCAAAGCCAAGCAATGGCTCAACCACCTATTCTCATCTAACCCACCCCTCTAATGTAAAGAATTTCCCGCAAGCATCAAAGATCCAAAATACGGCGTCCTCGCTATGATATTTCAGAGAAATTAGGCCCGTGTTGGTGTAACAGTAACATAAAAAATCTTACCTTATCACATCGTTAATTAAAATGGTTTATTTTGTTTCATTTTAATAATCGAATTGTTTATCCGTAATTTTGAAAACAGTTCATTGAAATAGTTCACCAAAAAAGAAATATCGTTAAAAGATGCAGACTCTGAATAGAACTTGTATGCTCAACCCCTCTACCATAGTGTATTGGGCAGCGTGACAGAGAGATTATCCTAATGAGTTTGCGCGATTTCATGAAGTGAAACAATCTTAGTCTACAAGGAATCTACACCTACAAGTAATGTCTTATTGTAACTGTCATTGATTCAAAATACCTGAAAATGGAGAAAAATTCACATCCCCGAAACGTCGCTAATTATGGTTGTAAAAAAACAATTAAAACTTTTTTTATAATTTTGTGATATTATTTTTTTTTTTGTTTATTTTCTGGTTTCTGTCAAAATGAACTCTGTGGCCAAAACTCGTTTAACCTACAAGTAATATTTGACTGAGATGTTTTGGGGGATTTTTTTTTCCATCCCAGCAGGTATTCTTAAGCCCCCCAGTGGATTCCTAATTGCACAAATCGCGATTCTTCACTACATAAATTTAGACTAAATTTATGAAGTATATATCAATATTGTTATTATTATTATTTTACACTAATAATAATAATAATAAGATACATAACCATTTTAAACTATTTATTGGCGTTAAATCACAGACGTTTCCATAATTATTCTTGTAGGAAAAGCGCTGCTGGTTAATTTGTGGAAATCTCAGAATTGACTTGTATAACCAAAAGGAAGGAAAACGGAAGGAGGAAGGGGTGCGTGGGCGAGGAGTGGGGATGGGGGGGGGGCGCCTGCGCTCGGGCCACGCGTGCCTTCGCCCGCAGGCGCGATCTCCCACGCGCCTGGGAGCGCGCGGATCCAGGCCGCTTCAGCGGAGAGAGGGTCACGGAGACCCACGGCTGCCCCGGCCTGCGCGGGCGCGATGCGAAGATTGTGCCGACGGCACGAAAAGTTCTCGCCCACAGATCAGACGATCCGTAAAACTGCGTCACATACAAACGCTTATTAATATATTGTCTTATTGATGAATTCTCAAGCTGCGTGCAGTTCAGAAAGTTACGCAGCAAACTAACTAGGAAAGGGTTCATAACAAGCACTTGGCGTAGCAGTACAAAGAATCCACACTGGGACGAGTCAAAACAATAGAATGAAATGTAAATTACATTGTACAATGTAATATGAAATGGGATCAGAGGAGCTTTAATGCAGAAGTAGGTAACTAGTAAGTAGCAAACTGGAATAAGCAACAAACGTGTTCTCGGAAACGATTACAAAAAAACATCATCTTATGAAATGCTAATTAATGCTAATAAATTATAATGTAATGTTTGTTAACATTTTCACGTAAGGTAACAATAAAACAAATGCACCCGAATGAGCAAATGCTTGTGCCTGGGTGCAATTTAAGTAAACTTTTAATGAAAATAAAAACTGAGATATGGTACATTGACAACAAAATGTATGTGCAAGTAACAGTTTTATAAAATAGTAACCTAACATATTTTATATATAGAAAATCAGGCTGAGCATTTGTTGCAAATAAAATAAAACTACTGCAAACTATTATTTTACAGTTTTAAAGAAAGAGAATAACAAAGGATGAAAATATTAAGTATATGAGGAAGAACCTATGCTAATATGAGTAGGGGGAAAGTCGTCCACAATGGGGAAGCTAACATATTCTAACATATAACAAATTAATTTTATTGGTAAAAACCGTTTGCAAAATATATCGACGTTAAGTAGAACTTTGACATTCAGAAGAAATGATTTTCTGTGTTAAAATATTGACATTATTGGAAAATGTGTAATGTCCCCCTTTTTGGACAACCGGTGGGATAAAATGGGGTACTCAGATTAAAATGATTTAATATTGAAGACAATTTTGAAAAATCATTTATAAAGTCAATAATTTTGACCCTGAGAAAATGCAGCAGACATGGTTCTGACTACTAGCAGTGTTCACTAATTAGACAAGACTAATAATGACAGAAAAGAGCAAGGGTATTACACGATGAATGACATGGAAGTGGACAAGTTTATTGGTTTAGAGAAATCCTGAAACATTGTCTTGTAACATTGCCAGACGATATTCCTATGATGTTTGAAGTAAAATAGAAAGAACAACTAAATATAAGTCAAAAGAAAAGAATTTAGGAAGGTTACAGTAAAACTTGCACGAACGTTGTAATGTCCATTAAGGGACGCTCGTGTGTCTGCAGTCTTAGATGCGTACCACGTTTTGCTTATTATTTTCAGATGCGTGTCTATCTGAAAAATATACCATCCTACATTGTAATTTGAATTTTACGATTTTCATAGCAGACAGATTTGCAATAAGTTCAATATCACTAAGCTTTTAAAATCATTAAACCTATTAATTCCTTTCAAATTATATTCTTGCGCATGCTTATATTCTTGCGCAAATTATATTCTTGCGCTTCTTTGCGCAATCTATACCATTCAACACACATACTATAACGGCTATTGCTTTACTGATTTTGACACCTCTTAAGGTCGGAAAACGAAAGATTATTCATGTTCCTGAAGTGCTATACTCTCAAGACGTTTACTGTAGGCGTTCAACCACCTTACAGTCCCCTCCCGCCCCCGTCCTACAAGAAAAAGTACTCCCTGGCTATCCTGCAACCCCCCTCCCATAACTAACAACATAGGTAAGGCTCAATTAGACCAAACAAGTATGAGACAATGGCTGACCTACAAAGACGAACCACAAATACAAAATTCTCTTCCCATCCCACATCTTATCCTACTCCCCTGCACCATCTTTTCCCTCCTTTCCCTCCATCTTCAAGACACCCTAACAAAATAACTCATCTTTCCTTAACGAAATTACCCTTCATTCCATCACCCAGATTCCCAATCGCCGATCCCCGATCCCCGATCCCCGATCCCCTATTCCCGATTCCTGATCCTCGATTCCCGATTCCCGATCCCCGATCCCCGATTCCCGTCCCTCTCCCCCTGTACGGGGAAGAGGAGTCGTGGTAATCTGTAAAAAACTCAGAAGAAAACCCAGCATGATGAGTTTCAAATCGTGTACTGGCATGCAGCTGATAGCAACACCCTGCGTCCTGCGTCCCTTCCCAGAGCTCTTTCCCCGGCCATGGAGTAGCATTCCTTCACCGCGTCACATAGCAGCTGGCGGGCGAATTGATGCTCACGCCACTACACGATGAACACCTCAGCTGACCAGTTCTGCTTCTCATGTTACGTGAAGTAATAATTAGCACAATGCAAGGCACTTCATGGCGCAATTTATGTAATAAACAACTTTCTACATAATAATCAATTTTGTTCTCTATTTTTATTTAAATGGCGAACATAATCATTTACATTAAGCCTCATGACAGACAGATGACCAGCGAAGTGTGGGTGACATACTATGGCTGGTGTATGATGTATGGCGACCGAGAACCGGCATGCATACATCGGTAATCCCTGGTTATTTACGTGACTTCCTCGTTGGGGCCGCGGCCTTCTGTTGTAACCCGTAATACAGGAGTTCTGGCGGGAATTTGTAATCTCCCGCCCAGATTCCCGGAAATAGATTGTTAGCAAAGATAGATCGCAATGAGACGAAGAAGGACTCCGGGCACCCGGTAGCTCTCGGTTGGGCTCTTGACTTCGCCGTGGCTGTGTCCGACACTCGTGGGTACTAGGGGGCGGCTTGTCCCAAACCCCGTGAACGGCGTTAACAGCTTCGTAACCAACATGGAAAATTGGTAGTCTCGAGCTGGCAGGACGGCCTTATCCAGGTTTTGCTAGATGTGCAAATAGCGTGAGCTCCTCGCTCCGGTTCCGGATACCAGCCCAACGGTGCACTTGTACACCCGCAGGAGGTGAGGATCAGAACAATTACTCAGGAACCCACCCCTGAGAGTAAAATCCCCTGGTGACACAAGTGAGTGCGTTAGTAGGCCGCACATGGTTTACGTGTCTTCTTCGAGGGGAAAAAATTGAATTTGATTTCCCTCCAAAGACCATGACGTGTGCCTGTAACTTTTTGACTTTTATATGCACTTTTTGTTTTATTCTAGCATTGAAATAACCCGATGAAATTAACTTAATATTGCGTGATCATAAAAAAAAGTGTCTCGCTTACGTATGTTTTCTTAGTAAACGTTTTTCTTCAAAAACTACATTGATGTAATCGCATCTGCACGTGCCTGTGACGTTTCTAGTTGTATAACTTTGCGTTTCAGATTGTGCGTAATGTGAAATAATTATTTTCTCAAGGAAATACCACACTTTCGCATACACACGCACCAAGCTTTGTTTCTCAAGTTGTCGTTCCAGTTTTTTTACTCTATATTTCTCCTCTCATTGTCTTCCTCCAGCTAGATGCAGAGTGTTCATAGACAACAGCGGAAAATCGTTTCGCGGGGCTGCATTAACTTCAAAATTTACTATACTTAATAGAAGTGGTGAAGCATCTAAGAGGGTTTTGAGGCTTACCCTAATCCCTAATCAAACTATAATTTTCAAAATAAGAAACGTAATGAATTAAATATTGATATTTTCTATTTCTCGAGATTTCTCCTCCGAAATTTCCTTTTTTCTGCACGTATTATAGTCTAATGTTTTCTTTGACTAAGAGGACGGTTATATAAATATTTTTAAATGCAATAAGGAAGTTAGTAATCATCTCTAAGAAGATAAAGTGTATTCTCATTACAGAAAGTGTTAGAGGAAGAAATTTAATGCAAATAGGAACAAGAAATATTCACTTTTTCGGTATCAGGGATCTACAATACGAATATTTATGCTGAAAAACTTTTTTTTTTGCTGAATTACATAACTTTCTCTGTTCTACGTGTATTGTATGCTAGAAAGGAAAAATGCGTGGGAAAGGAATGTTATGAAGATGCTCCCGATCTGAGGGATAAATGTAGAGCTACATTTTCGAATCTAACGGAGAAAAGGAACCTAACCTCATTGCTTCAAACTACTACTGCTCCAAAAGCCGCCGCCATCCTCTCTGTGGCGAGCTATGTTGTACGTGTGTTGTTTCTAGGTTTATTGGATGAGTATATTATTGAATGCATAAAAATACACGACACATCTTGATCTACCTTAATATATGTACTGTGTGCACCTTGACAACTTAAATCGGTCAATGAAAAATTGTTTGCTTTAACAAAAACTCCACAGAGGTGCACAATTCCTTTGATGTCCCCCTGCAATTTTAGCCAGCCAATTTTAGCGTGTTGGACAGGTTTATGTCAAGAGAACTTCTATTCATCACAATACTTGTTGGTACCTACATACATGTTTGTATTATTGGTTTCTATTTTTATTTTTCAGGTATTCCACGTGTGTGCTCTTACGGACGATGGCCTAATTATGAAAAGTTTCCTGTGCCCAGAATCAACATTATTTGATCAGACCATTCTCAAGTGTAACTGGTGGTTTTATGTTGACTGTAAGGCATCTCGAAAGCTGTACGACAGCAATATTCCCATTTCTAAAAGTTACCAGTTAATGAAAGCCTTAGCTTTCTTTTCATCATACAATAAAAATTAAGTGATTGAAATGCTCAGAACAGAACTGTAATGTATTTATTTATTGTGCTCATCACCGCACTTCGAAGAGACGACAGTGACTACTTTTGCTCTGAAAGGATATTTCGAGCAGAAATGTGGAATATTTTACAAATGACATTGCGTCTACCTCTCCAAGCAAATGTATTCATAATTTGTTGTGGTTATCTCTAAAACCTAAACAGATTTGAAAAGTATTAAAACTCTCAGCCGTTTGATCCATGTCACCGAATTGTTGATTCTAAACGACACTCTGATTAATTAGCGGGAAATAATTTGTTGCAAGTAATATAGCGATTTGAAGAAACCAAAGGAAAAAATGAAAATCGTGCTTAGATATAAGTAGGGACACTTTTTCATGTGCATTCCTATTTTTAATTACCTCTATATTAACTCAATTTAAAAAACAAATATGTTATGCAATAGTTGTTCTATTTATTCTGACTCAAAAACAGTACGCAAACTTTGAACTGTCTTATTTAATTCGTAAATGATAAAAATACAGATGGAAGATGACATTTAGTTTAGATTAATAGAAATTGAAGTGGCAAATAAAATTAACATGGATTACGAGAAGGTTACCCCCCTACTTAAAGCACTCTACCAAAGCAAAATCCTGGCCTGACATTATTTTTAAGATGTTATTAATGAATTTTCTCTTGGTTTCTTCATTATGTAGCACTTGTCTCATCTGCTGAAAAAGTTTAGCAGAACAAGAAAAGTGATAGTTAATATTTTTTATTTGAATATTTTCGTATGAAAAGCTATTGGGAGTTATATTTATATATAATTTAAAATATTTATATATTGCATTTTCTTATTTATTGGAATTGTTCTTTGATTACTTCAGAGGTAATAACTACACCCAATCTGCGAAGATTGTGAAGAAGATACCACAGCTCTCTTGCCCAAAATTTACGTTCGAATTATTCATTTAATCATGTTAAATAATCTTCATACTTATTTTTTTAATAAAAATAATATTTTGATATGTGTTGTTTTTATTCCTTGTCTTAACAATAACTTTATATAAAATAATGAAAATGTACTAAAATAAACTTGACGATGTTATACACCAACAGTTTGAGGAGTTTATTAAAACTTCTTAAGATATCATTGACTACCCATATTTCATCTTTCCGGAGCTATGAGAGACACAACAATAGAGAAATGATAAAAAAATTGTCAGCTTTAATAGTTGTATATTAAAACATAATGGTACTATAAGAGCACAAAATACCTAAAAAAAATGCCCCATTTTTTTCTGTTTTTTACTCGTGTACAAAGCAAGGAAGACTTAAAAGAATGGTGGATGGCTCATTTTCATTGATCTCTCAAAAAAAATTCATTTATCTCTCTTTTCGAATATTGCTTGAAGGAAATATCGGTTTGAAACAATTACATTTTTAAGCGTCAGCCTGTTTTGGTACGACAGAACGGCTATCTAGCGTAGGGATAACGTGCATGGTGAGTCGGAGGACATGTGTGTGAGTCTCGGTGCAGAAAAAATGGTTTTCTGGTTGAAAACACTTTTGCAGGTTCATGTAATCGAACAATATTGCGGAGCAGTTCGAAATAATGCAAGACACACTGTGCGATTGTGTGTTGCGATTTGCATCTGCTAACTATGAAATGAAAACTATTTTCGTTTTAAATATATTTCATGTAGGTAATTCCCTATTAAGTAATAGAACACTTAAAACGATTTTGGTTAATATTTTCTTATAAACTGTCAAAAACCCGTCATATTTCCTTACCGTACTATATACAAAGGGAATAACAATTATTATATTTGCTCTTATTAAATTAATTATGCAATCAATGGTTTAAGCAATGATTCAATGTTCTCCGATTTAGCTATTCTCAATTTCGATCCTAAAATTCTAAATACATACATACTCTATTTGAGTGAAAAAGGAAAATAAAGTATTTAAAGCAGACACCTAGGCAGCGGGTATCGCTTCCGCACGGTCCCACACGTCATGCAGGCACACAGCACGCTATTGAAGCAATTAATAGCTTGGCACCTTTTTGTATTTGGAAGGCACAGCAAGAAAATTGACTGTGCGGTTTTGAAACACGCAGTTCTTTTGTTTCGTTCTCTTCGGAAATATAAATATATTCAGTTCTTTCCGTTATTAGATACACAGACTTAAAGAAGACTCGGTAGTAAAAAGCTGAAAAGCGTAAAAAATATTGAAACAACCTAACAGGGACAATATGGGGTCCCGTCATAGTTATTTTGGGGCACAGGAAATAATAATAATAATAATAATAATAATAATAATAAATTATTATTTATTAATTTTCTCAATGTTGGATATTATATAATACATAGGAATTGATATTCAAGACGTATTAAGAAAAACAAATGTTTAAAAAATTAAAAATTGTCTATTTTTAAACAAATTACGCAAAACATTACTAATATTTTCGAAAAATTACTGTATTTTAAAACCTGGCTTTGAACAAAAAAAATTAAGGAAAAGTCTTTATCTTTAATAATATAGTTGAAGGAAGTCGCCAAAAAAATTTGAACTTTTGCAATTTTCAAAAAATCAAGAATTTTAATTGAGAGTAACCCCACATTTAAATGTAAGTTTTTTTTTACGCTATCCGAGATTTCGCAAAGTTGAATATGGGGCAATATCACTTCTGGGGAAAATCGCCTAAACAGTTTCGGTGCTAGCGATAACCACAAATGGACGGACAATCAGACAGGCGTTTTGCCTCCAATCGTTTTTCGTTGTTAAGAGCTCACAAAACGTGGATTTTGACAACACCGCGTGTTTTTATCCACTTTTTAGTCACCAGGACCCGACAATAAGTGATTCTGAGGAAAACTCGCCGTTTTTTACCCGCGGCGTTTCAATACTTTCTCTGTACTGCGTAAGCAGTACGCGAGAAAACAAAAAAATGTAATAGAAATAAACAAACAAAACTGCAATAAATAAAAATTCAAAAGCACAAATAGACAAATATAAAATGTAAATAATTTGCGTCCATCTCCACCAATTATTCCACCAATTATGTCTCCTTGATCGAGTGAATCGGCAATGTCCTAACAATCTGTAGCTAGCTGATTTTCGCAAGAATAACCAGGTCTAAAGTCGTTTAGGTGATCAACTGTAACTTTTGTAAAATATGGCCTGGAATTTTCTTTCCTGGACCCTTTTAATAAGCCTTTAATTTTGATACATTTTCGTTGACTTCCAATTGTGCCAACCAGTATTTGCCGAGTGGGCGCTGCTAGCTTGAAACTAAAACTACCTGCACCCATGATTTTTGGAAATCCACAGGAGCCTCAGATTCGTGAATACAGCACTAAATTAGCCTCAAAATAGCGTTTAATTTAAATAATGATTTGGTTGTTTCTTTGTATAATAATGTATAATAATAATAATAATAATAATAATAATAATAATAATAATAATAATAATAATAATAATAATGTTTTGGGCCGACGCCGCCGTCACAGGCGCCACCAGCAGTGGGCAACAACTGATGTCACCGCCGTGCCTCTGACCGGAAGGTCCTAGACTTCGAGTCCCGTCGATGGCAGGATTTTCGACACTAGCTTGTCAGTTGGGTCGAATTCAATCGCTGTTTGGAGGAGACTTCTAGCGGCTGTCTACTCTGATCGGTTGTTTTCATTGCTTTTCAACACCAGGCCAGTATCGGAGCAGTACCTACCCGAACAAACCGGCCACGAACCGAGCGCTATTTTTCTTTCCTCTTCCTTGTCCTTTCCTTACATACACTTACACCCACATACACTGCACTCCCGAACTTGTCGAGAGACCAGTCGGGAGCTTCGAGCTCGTCTCGGCCCGCGGTTGGGAGATACCTGGACGGAGAAAATTCCCGCAAGCCGATGTAGATCGGCGCCGGATCTCGCCAGGCAGCGGAGGAAGATCACTTCCACCTCCAGCGATAAAAAGATGCACTTTACTTACGTAACTAATGTTGACGCGACCGGAATCACTAAGCAATCAATCAGTCCCCGGAGCCAATCTTACCGCCCCGTCTCTTAGCCCATTGCCCGTACGTTTACTTCGACCGTAGGCAAGAGCACGACGCTGGACACTTACATCAACGGTCGACAACAGGGAGGGGGGCGGTGCGTGGAGGACGCCGCAACTCTGCTGAACAGAGCGTCGCAACGTCTCTGCTTGAGATGGACGCCATCGCGACCTCGCGCGCTCTCCAAGATCCATCCGTTCGCAACCGCAAAGATAAACGGGAGATTACGTTTCACCCAGTCCATTAACCCTACGGATCCAAACATCCCGGTGGCGAATAACACCACTTAAAAACTATGCGGTCGGAAGGTTAGCGCCTTTTCATTGCCAAACCAAGATCGGTTAAAGTAGGGACGGTCCCTACGAAATTGGAATGGGTGGCAACCCTGCTTCTGCAGCATTTGTGCACACTTTTAGAAAGAAGCGTTTCTAAATGAAATGGTTTGAGAGAGCATAAACATGTCGTGCCTAAAAGCTATATTGATTGCAAATCCCAGTTACCATTTAGAGGCTAGGGTATATTAGTGAGTTCAGTATCGAGACCGATGTATCTACAGAGGTTTCATCAAGGAGTTTATACAATGGCATTTATTAATGTAGTCCTGCTGTTTTTATGTATACTGAGTAGTAAATTTTGCTGTAATAATTTATTTCCTCTAAAAAAGCTTGTAGTTCTAAGTGACATACATAATGGAAATGCAGGAAAGGGCGAATCAGAACAAATTGATTTTATTCGCAATTACAATGATTTCAGACGTGCACACTTTGATACTATCTTGTTCTACTTTTGGGATAAGAAAAATGGAAAAAGGATTTTTGATGGCCCAAATCTTTGCTTATTTAATACATTTGAAGAGAAAACAGGAGTGCGTTTGAAGCGTGTCAAACCTTCCCTCGCTATGTTTGGGAAAAGTACCAATGGAACGTACAACGGTGAGTTAGGTCTCATTCAAAACTCTTCAGTGGACGTATCCGCCAACGTCTTTTACTACTTTCACAACCAATATCAATTTGGGAACTACACTGTTCCTGTCCTGGCGAGTCCGCTCTGCATCGTGGTTCGTCGCGCCCCCTCCGTGCCCTTTACACAAGTGTTGCTCCTTCCCTTCACGCCGCTCGCTTGGACGTGGCTGTTGATTTCGCTCTGCACAGCCATCTCGGCTTTCTTCACCGTCCACCGCTACCTGCCCAGCGGAGGGCGCGGAAGCGGGAGATTGTCGGCGCTCACACGCAGCGCGCTGGACGTGGCCCAAGTGAGTTGCTCGGGCGCCTGCAGCCGCCCCGCAGCTACTCTACCCGCACGCACCCTGCTGGGAGCGCTGCTGCTGTTCTCGCTGGTGCTCTGCAACGCCTACACGGGCCAGCTGCTGGGATTTCTGACGACACCGCCGCGTCTCGCCGACCTGCAAACGCTGGATGACGTCGCCCGCGTGCTCGATGGAGTATACGCGTTTGCCGCCCCACCGAACATTTTTGATAACCCCAACTCTCCGCGAGCGTTAAGAGAAATTGGACGCAAACTGAATGTACTTAAAGTCCACGACATCCTTTATGTCGTACGTAAAATTACTCACGAGAACAACGTTGGGGTGCAGTTGGCCACGACGTTTTACTCCTACTTGTCCAGCTCGGAAGCGCTCACCGAGGAGGAGCGTATGCTGCACCTCGTCCCGGAGTGCGTGAATCCGCC